GGTTACTTAATTTTTAGTAATCACGGTGGCTACCTTAATCTACACCATTCATTATTTCTTTTTCACCCTAATTTTAAATTAACAATGAAGATTATATTAGGGTAATTTTGGAATTGAAAAATATACCACACCTGATTACTCTATAAATTATATCCAAACCCTAACCTATTGCAACCCGCCGCCAACCACCAAGCACCCTCCCCGTAACCTCCCACGACCCTCATCCCTCCCGAGAACTTCCTCCACCGCCGGCCGGCCTCCCCTCCACCGCCCTCCTCCCTTCCCCTCCTCTCTTGTAAAGCGGCCGGCCTCCCCTCCCATCCGGCGACCCCCTCCCCCTCCCCCTGCCGACCCACCCCTCCCCCGACCCCATCACAATCGCAAATGGTAACTGCATAAACGACCCTTACTCTACTCGCTGCTCTCTCTCTCTCTCTACCATCACAACATACATACCAAATAGACATATTGGTAGTTTTCGTTTATGGATTCAATGTGCAGTGGTATAGATTGTTTATATTGGTAGTTTTCGTGTAATGGTACATATTTATTTCTGCAATGGTATTGATTGTTTATGGTATAGATTATTTATATTGGTAATTTTTGTGTAATAGTATAGATTTATTTGTACAATGGTATTGATTGTTTATGGTATAGATAGTTTATATTGGTAGTTTTCGTGTAATGGTATAAATTTATTTATGCAATGGTAGTTTTCGTGTAATAGTATAGATTTATTTCTGCAATGGTATTGATATTTTCCAAAGTGGTAGTGTTTATCTAATGGATTGGTACTGATTTTGTTTTTTTTTTTTTTTTTTGCAGAAAGATTGAGAAAAATATGGAAAGGAAATCTGGCTGGAGATTACGGAAGTGAGAGAAAGAGAGAATTTTAATTAATAGATTTTTTTTAACTACCTTAAATGTAATTTATTAAAAAATTAATTAATATAATTTATTTTTCCATACCCAATTTACCCTTAGTAACCACGGTGATTACTACAAAGTAGTAATCACCGTAACCTGTCCCGGTTTACCCGACATGCCTGACCGTAAACATTGGATAATACCCATAGGTATGAACTAGCACAGGGCCCCGCCCGTTGGCGGGAGAGTATGATTCATTTGGCCCGAAGAGTTTGATAATGAAATTGAGGTGTACTCAACTTAGAGGTATTAGTGTGATAAGCAAGTAGCTCATTTTTATCTATATATTGTAAATGCTCGGTTGACTGTTTTCTTCGGGAGGTTGTCAATGAATAATTTAGAAAAATAAGGTTATAAAATTAAATACCAAAAAATGCATAAAAACATGTCAAATAGAATACTTATACCTTATATTACATTATATTCATTCTCTAATTCAACTATATATTTGTGAAAAAATTATTATCCCGATAGAAAGTTGGTAAAGAACAACATAACAGTTGTTTTCCATGAGATCTTTGCAATAAAAAAATAGTTTTTCCTTTGATGAAGTTTAGAGTATCCATGAAATATTTTCCTCAATAGTCATCTTTGTTATTGATCAGTGCACGGAGTATAAATTCGGAATTACACGCTGCACACATCAGATGAATGAGGTGGAACAATTTGCAAATTGGTTGTCAATAGTTAGTTGAGCAATGTACTCAAACTACTATCATATCTTAAATATGTCAAGCAATCATGTAACAGTTTCATTGAGCGAAGTCATGTAATCTTGGAAGTTAGGAGTGTAAACCAATAATATTGGTGGATTGACGGATAGATAATTGAGACTATTCAACAAATTAAATCATCATTTGTTGACCATCACAACCGGTTAGAAAGCAAATTGTTAGCATTTATACCAAGGAGATCCAAAATTTTGGTTTAGTTGTACTAAGTTAATGGAGTCTCATCAATATATTAATAAGTAAATGGTTTCCACTTAGTTTTCAAAAGAGTAATTCAAGTATGTTTTCATTCAACATCAATCACTCAAATTAGTCACTTACAATTTCATTCAAGTTTTGTGGCAGTAATGACTTGTGTGAATTTTTTTAAGATAGATTACCCAAATTCATTACTACATACATCGCAACCATAAATCAAATTCGCAGTTCGCAAATTACCTAAATAAACTACCGTTTGAATTTACTACCAAAAAACCTAGGATTTAGAAAAGTAGCACATAATTTTTACTCATTAGGGTTTAGATGACAGTACAACGCTCCAAAATTTACTATTCAAGATTTAGATGGTGTTTTTGCACCCACCTCATATTGAACAATCATTTTGATTAGGCAATTCAAAATCTATAATCATAATACAACGAACAAAGAATGAATGAATTTTTTTAAAATTATTTGGAGTTTAATTATTTAGTAGCCAAGCCTTTATAATTTGGCAAAATAATAGTTAGAACTTTTGAAATACAATATAATAACTGAATCGTTAAATTTTCATCTGCCATCTCGTTCGTTAACTTTGCATCCGACATCCCGTTTGTTGACAATGACGTGGTAGCTAAATTGATGAGTTTGGTGAATTTTAGTGAGGTGATAAAGAGTTAATCGACTTGTTTAACTATGTTTGGATATTTATTAGTTTTTAAAAATAGTGTATGATTTTAATCTATAGATTTCTTTTACACATGCTTGTATGATTTTAATCAAACTCAAGCACCGAAAGAGAGATTGCAATTGTAGGGTAGAAAAATTATTGGTCCAAAATGACCAAAGAGACCTTCCTAGGATTGCGCAGAGAGCTAGATTTTTTCAATTGTGCATGTTCTCACGCGGAAAATCTATTTAGGATTGGGAGGATGTGCTTCCCAAAACTACAGTCAAAACTTTCTCTTTTTATAATAAATAAATAAATAAATGATAGTCAATCTTTGGCGTGAAAGAAAAAACATTATTGCTAACCGAACATGTTTAACATAATAATTTGACGAAATGGAGGACATCAAAGTCATTCGCGGGATTCTTCCTAGAAAAGAACAAGTCTCCTAGATAAGTACAGTCTTTTATAGTACTTTTCTAATAGTATAACTTGTATTAGTTTGTGAAATATCATTTCTTGTAAACAAATTCAATCGTTATATCATTCCAACAACATATAATCATATATATGTATATATAATTAACTATAACAATCTAATCGATCATTGGAAAATTACATTTTGGTAACATAAATTTTTTGTTATAACATTTTAGTACCAAAACTTTTCGAATTTTACATTTTGGTCCAAGCCTTGGATGTCAATTGGATTTATGGATCAATCCACCAATCCATTTGATCCAATCCATGAATCCACCAATCCATTTGATCCAATCCATTTGATCCATGAATCCACCAATTCAATCCACGAATCCGAACCAATTGCCACCTCTACTATTGGTTTATCACTACGTCAAGCCCTTGTTCATAATGCTAACTCGCAATTGCCATTGCCAACCTAGGTCGTAACCAAATACGGTGTAGAGAGGGTTTACCCGACATGCCTAACCGTAAACATTGGATAATAACCATACGTATGAATGTGCTTCCCAAAACTACAGTCAAAACTTTTTCTCATTTTATAATAAATAAATAAATAAATGATAGTCAATCTTTGGCTTGAAAGAAAAAACATTATAGCTAACCGAATATGTTTAACATAAATAATTTGACGAAATGGAGGAAATCAAAGTCATTCGCGGGATTCTTCCAAGAAAAGAACAACTAGTCTCCTTAGTTAAGTATAGTCTTTGATAACACTTTTCTAATAGTATAACTTGTAATAGTTTGTGAAATATTATTTCGTTAGTAAACAAAATCAATCGTTTATATCATCCCAATTCCCAACAACATATAATTCTATAATGGTTGTCATGCCGGTGGCATGCCGGCCATCGATACCGGTCATGAAACCGGCTGGAATACCACCGGTATGATGCTCTGGTCAATTCCGGTCAGTACTGGTCAAAACCAGTCAAACCAGGGAATTTCGGTGGTCCAACCGGTATGCCAATTCCGGATATTAAGACATACCATCGTCGTCGACTCGTCGGTGGGGTAGCCGAGGCGAAAGTGGCGCGTTAGCGGCAGGGGCAGCAGCTGGTCCCACCCTTCTCTCGCAACAAGCGCTACGGATTCCAACGGGAAATCCCGATGCCGGTGGTGTTCGGGGTCTTTGCATCTTCTTCCTCCTGCTCCTCGTCGTAATCCCCTGCCTCAAGCCCATCGTCGCCCATAGCGCCGGGATCAGACCACAACTTGCATTTTGCTATGATTTGTAATACCCATTGCTGAATTGAATATATAGAAGAGTAATCATAATATAATATGACTCTCCACTGCCGACGGTGAAGCTCGGCATGGCGGCAAAGGCAGGGATTGTAGTCCTTCAATTATTTCTTCAAATTCCTGGCCCTCGCAAACAGAGGCAGGGGATGTAGTGGCTTTCTACACGGACACTGCATTATCGTTCGTTTGTTATTAATTTAGAATGATTAATAGGATAGTTGCTACAAGTTAGAATAATTGGTAAAGTTGGAATGAGAATATCTTAAAAGTTGTGTTGCTTTTGAAATTTGGATCATGGGTTGTTTGATTTTGGAATATTTTGTCAAACCGGCATAAACCAGTATGAATTCCGGTTGTACCACGGTCTAACCATTCTACTTGTGAAACCGGTGTACCGGCATAAACCGGTTTGACAACCTTGAATCCTATATATGGATATAATTTACTATAACAACCTAATCGATCAGTAATTTATGATCTGAACCGCAGTGCAGAAGCAGTACCCTATGATCACAACCCCATAAAACCTCACGAAATTATTGTGCTAGCTTGCTGGATCAGTGGATCCCAATGCATAAGCACTGAACATGTATATGATTAGAAGATGACCTGCAAATTAATAAATGGAAAATCATATCCAACCGAAGAAGAAGAAAGAGCAAACGAAATTTTACACAGTATAGAAGTAGCATGCACTAGCTGGCCGCCATCTTGCGTTTTTCCTTCTCCCATTGGCCGGACTACAACTAGTTTAGTTGAAAAGTTAAATCCAGCGGAGGATCCGAGTTGAGATCCAAACCCGCTCCCTTATATTTCCCTCCATCGCAATCGCCAACCACCGCCTCATCGTTCCCTCCGCCGCCGATCTCAACGAAATCCTCCTTTTCGAACGACGGCCTCCTTCTCTTCCCCGCGCTCAGCAGGCTGCCGGCCTCGACCCCGCTCCTCTCGAAGTACTTGACGGCGACGTGGATCCTCCTCAGTATCGCGAAGAACTCCTCCACCTCTTCCTCCGGCGCCGCCGCTCGAGTCGGTCCCTCCGTCGACGTTGGGGCTCGGCCGTCCGCCTGCCGTCGTTTCTTGATTGGCTTATCCGCGGTGGTTGTTGCGTCGTCCATATTATTCTCTCTTTTTTTTTTTCGAAAGGGAAGGAAAACAAAAAATTACGGGAAGCTTCGTATACCAAATGGTGGGGTGAGGGTTTGGGCGTTTGGAAGGAGAGTGGGTAACGAGTTGTCGGTTCAATTTGTATATATAGGGAGGGATGACGGTGGGTGACGTCGGCCAAGCTGCGTCATGGCGGGTGGTCGGAATGACGTCGTGTGGTAGAGAAAAACGAGGGGAAGAAGGCCTGAATAGGGCCACTAGCTAGCTAGCCACTAGCCAGCCGGCTAACCACTTGTCCACTCCGCCAAACTATTCTCGATGGTGTGTTTGTTACGTACGAACTTATTTTTTCCGGGCGGAATTTGGCTGCAACCCATACAGCAGCCCACCGCTGCAACCTTCCACATGGCGTCCACAGATTGGTGCAATAAACTAATTAATTCATAAACAATAATTTAATTTGGACGGGACGTAACGGAGAAGCATATGACGTTTTTGGCTGTTTCACCCTCTAGACTTTATTTTGGGTAATTAGCAAAAATAGGACGGGAAAATAAAATATCCATAACTAAGAATTTTCATGTCGATCCCAATTTAATTCGGTAAGGTAAAATCTGATTTCGAGATTTTCACTGAGTATGATTAGCATTCAAATCAGAATATTACGGACAATGGGTGAACGTGGTTCTCTCACTATTCAACCGGAACCCATCCGATTATACATATAACATATGTATAAGTATTTTTGTCTAGAAATGATCATTATTTTTCTTGACATACTTGATTCTTATTATACATATATAGTATTTTTCACGAAATTGTGTTATTTTTTAACTAATTTTTGTCATTCTAGTTATTTATTAGTGTGCTTTTTCACTTACACTTATGCAATGCTAGCACACATCTGAATGTTAACATGTTGGTTGCATTTATAAATTTTTTTTATTACCATGGATATCCGTAGATACTCTAAATTCGATCAATTATGGACAAATTTTTTATTTTCAACCCGATTTTTGTAAGAGTATTCATATGAGTTAAATCGAGCTATTTTTTATTGAAAAATGTATATGAATATCCATCTCTAATCCGATCGGTTGTCAACCCTATTGCTAAATGCTAAATAAATTATATGAAAATAATATCTTCAAACATAATAATAATAATCCTGCTAAGGTACTAATGAAAACCAAATTTGTGGCAATTTTGTAAAAATTTAAATGTTTGGGAATGTTTATGCTAATTATCCAAAATAAAATTTAAAAGGTGAAACAGGCAAAATCAAGGCGTCAAATGCTTCTCCGTCTCGTCCCGTCCAAATTAAATTATTGTTTATGAATTAATTAGTTTATTGCACCAATCTGTGGACGCCATGTGGAAGGTTGCAGTGGTGGGCTGCTGTATGGGTTGCAGCCAAATTCCGCCCTTTTTTCCATGGGTTTATTGCTTTTTTTTTGTCTCTTCACAAAAGATACTGCAAGATTCCAATTCTTTTATAATCAAGAATTTTTGTTTTAAATGAAGACCTGTATTTTTCCATTAATGTGAAATAGTACAAGAGTCAGATTGTAACCTAGACTGGCAGGTTTCAGTTTCTTCCCAGTTACATAGAGTATGGGTCATATGTGGGCAACTTGATTGCTATTCCGGCCTGAAACCCGAATGGTAAACGAGCCCAATTCTTTCAACTTTTCTGTCAATTCTCCACATGCATGCAATTCCTTCTTCTGTTAAGCCCATTTCCTCCTTCGAAACATGCTGAATCACCCTCAAGCAACCAGTCTCCACCTCACCCTCCATCAATCCCCATTGCTCCGCCATTTCCAAACTGAACCAGATCGCCTTTATCTCCGCCATTTCGGATTGCCATTGAACCCTAGTTCTTCGAACTGCTGCAAAGCAAAAATTGCAGCTCTTGTCCCTTACCACCATCCTGAATCCTGTACCTTCTCCTTATAAACAAGCTGCATCAACATTTATCTTGTAGTTACCGCAAATCGGAGGTGCCCAGCTCGGAGGTATTCACATCGGAGTCGCCGTTGAAGAGGATTGATATTCCAAGTATTCAGCTAACCATCTCTCCGCTCGGTTAATGATCTCATACTCCTCCATTTTTTTCTTATTCCACATCTGGTTGTTTCTCTCGTTCCAGATGAACCATAGAGCCACCAAAAATTGGCCGATTGCTTCATCAGCCTCCGATTCTTGCAGCGATACCAACCACTCTTCACATGTGAGATCTGTTCCTTTCTCGAATAGGTGGTTTAGTGAACTAGGGCGCCAAACTCAACGAACCCAACCACACTCTTAAAACAAGTGAATCTGTGTCTCCCTCTGCCCACAAAATGGGCATTCATCACATCCTTTTTGCATTCTATCCACGATATTTGCCCCCGTGGGGATAATATTGTGAATCCATTTCCACCCAAATACCTTCACCTTCGGGGGAATGGGAAGATTCCAGAACCGTTTCCATTTGGTATGGGTATAGATTTCTCCCAGTTCCTCTTCTTGTTTGTTCCGCCAAAAGTGATAGGCTGATCGCACCGAGTAGATTCCCGATTTCTCATGGGTCCAGATTCTGCAATCTTCCGTCGAGACTCGAGGGATAGGCATGCTCAAGATTTATTGTCTGTCCTCTGGACATAAATGAGCTTGGAGAATATCTGTTTTCCAGCTTCTTGTCTCTGCATCTATTAGTTCACTGACTGATGTATTTGGGGCAAATTGCGACACTAGGGAAATAATCTTTAGAGTATGGGAAGTAGGAACCCATTTATCAATCCAAATGTCTACCTTATCTCCATTTTCAATTCTCCATATGAGACATTCCTTTAGTATTCTTTCAGCAGAGCGAGAATGCTATGCCAAACATAGCTTGGGTTGTTTCCCAATTCTGCCTCTAATAGTTCTCTGTCAGGATGATATTTGGCATTTAATATTCTAGACACCAGAGACGTGGGGTTCTAGATTATCTTCCAAAGCTGTTTGTCGAGAAGGGCTAGGTTAAAATCGTGCATATTTCTGAATCCCAATCCTCCTTTTTCCTTAGTCCTGCAAAGCTCCTTCCAACTTAACTAGTGTGTTCTGCGTTCTTGTTGTTTTTGCCCCCACCAAAAGTTAGATAGCAAGCTTTGAACTTCATTTAGAACATTCTGCGGGACCAAAAAAACATGCATAGCATATGTCATTTTAGCTTGAGTCACTGCTTTAATCATAACCTCCTTCCCTCCATTTGATAGAAGCTTGATTTTCCATAACTTCACTTTCTTTCTTACTCTGTCCACTAGATGGCAAAAAACAGCGTTCTTTTGCCTTCCCACAACCGTAGGTAGTCCCAGATATTTCGCATGATACTCTACTGCTTGCATCCCCATAACGCTTGCCAATTCATGTCTTAAAGCATCATCCACATTAGGGCTGAAAGGTATTTCAGATTTAACAAGATTTACCTTCTGCCCCGAGCCCTCTTCATAGAGATTAAGGATGTTTCGTATTTCTTGACATTTCCCCCTTGTTGCCCTTGAGAACAGCACGCTGTCGTCTGCAAAAAGTAGGTGGGATATAGGTGGTGATTCCCCTTTGACTCGTATTCCTTCAATCTTTTTATCCCTCTCTGCCTGTGAAAGTAGAGCAGATAATCCTTCTGTCACAAAGAGAAATAGATAGGGTGATGTGGGATCCCCTTGTAGAATTCCTCTTGTCGGGAAAAAAGTCTTTGTCTTATGGTCGTTGACCAAGATCGAATAGGATACTTTTGAAACACAAGTCATAATCATTGCAATCCACCTATTGTCGAACCCCAACTTCCTCATTACTGCTTCCAAAAGGACCACTCAACCCTGTCGTATGCTTTGGAGATGTCCACTAAACCCCTTCTTTCCTTGCTTTCTGCCCTTCGGCGAGTGAAAACACTCAAAAACAATCATTACATTGTTTGTAATTAATCTTCCCGGAACAAAAGCACTCTGCTGTTCTGAAATGACCTCATTTAAGATTCCTTTAAGTCTGTTGGCAAGGACCTTTGAGAGGATTTTGTATAGCACCCTGCACAAACTAATAGGCCGAAAGTCCACTAAGAGGACCACCTCCTTTTTTGGTATTAGAGCCAGCAAGGTATGGTTGAGCTCCTGTGGGAAAGATCCTTGACTGAAGTAACCTTGTAGCTCTCTGGTTATATCTCCCCCAACGGTCTCCCAGTTCTTTTGAAAAATAGGGCCGACATTCCATCCGAACCAGAGGATTTATGGGATCCCATCATTTTCAAATCAAACCGAATTTCCTCCTGTGTAATTGGTTTCAGCAAGTCTTCGTTCATTTCTTGTGTTACTTTCCTTGGGATAGCTTCGATGATTCTATTCGAAGATATACAGTTTCCTGCAGCAAAAAGAGTTTTGTACTAGCTAATTAAACATTCTGAAACCTGCTGGTGCCCTTCTCTATTTCTTCCTGCCTCATCGATCAACTTTCGGATAGTATTTCTGTTTCTTCTGTCAGAGGCCTTCTTGTGAAAGAATTTTGAGTTTTTATCTCCTCCTTTCAACCAATCAACTCAGGATCTTTGCCTCCATCTCAGTTCTTCTTGCATTAAGATTTCATTCAGCTCTTTTCAATAGCTTTCCTTTGTAAGATCACCGAGGCATCTGATCTCTTATTCTCAAGTATTTCCAGAGCTCTTTCTGCTTTAATTTTCCTTTGACGTAGATCACCAAAAGTTTTCTTGCTCCACTCACTTAGCTTTCCCTCGCAGTAGGACTACTTATCCAGTACTGAAAGTCCCCCACTTGAATTCCAACTGTCTGCGATGACCTGTTTACAATCAGCATGGTCCTGCCAATATGGTTCATATCTAAAGTGTCATCCCCACCTCACCTCCTCTTCCATCATATCCGTTTGTAGTAGAATTGAGGAGTGGTCAGACCCACATCTCCTAAGATGATGTACCCTTGCGTGGGGAAAGAGTCATTGCCAATCTGAGGTTGCCACCATTCTGTCTAATCTTTCTTCCAAG